GTGTGTGTGTGTGTGTGTGTGTGTGTGTGTGTGTGAGAGAGAGAGAGAGAGAGAGAGAGAGAGAGAGAGAGAGAGAGAGAGAGAGAGAGATCCAAGACGAAGAGGGAGGCGGCCGCGACGACGACGTTTCCGGCAACGACGGCGGTGGCGTGACAAAGGGCGGGGACGCGACGCACCAGCGGCGGACGGCGCACACGTACGGCCGTACGTACGCAGGCACCCGTATGTACGGCCCGTACATCCGTACGTACGCAAGCAGCCGTACGTACGGCCCGTAGGCCTAAACGGGCCGGTGGACGGGCCGTTCTTGGCGACGGGGTTTTCGGGTTTTGACCTGCTTTCGGGTCCATCTTGGGGGGCGGGGGGGGGGGGGGGGGGACGGGCCTGGGGACGGCCGTTGGCGCTGTTTAGCGTACTCTGGTCCGACATCTGTGGGCGCTGGGCTCCCTGCAAGGCTGCAATGGCGCCCAGGAAAGGGAGGGGAGATCAGCCATTCGTTCTGGTTAGTAAGGACAAGCAGAGGGAGGCGGAGCTGAAGTTTTTAAGTGGATTACGAAGGGCCAGACAATGCCGAATTCGAATGGCAATTTCCTCATGGAGTGCAAGCTGTGTGGTCAGGGGTTTCAGGGGAGCCTGACGAAAGCCGCACATCACTTCACGATGAAGAACAATTGCGCGAAAGTCTTCGAGCAGATGGCGAAGATCTGGAACAAGACAAAGTACGGGTTCGATCCAAGCCATCAACGAAAGATCGTGGACTTTTTGAAGTCTCGTGGGTTACGAGACAACAGATGTGGATCGGGGAGGGAGCCGGCGGGGGAGGAGGAGTTCGAGGACAGCGAGGATGAGAGGAGGGCGGTCGAGGGTGGAGAAGATGATGGTGAGAGTGATTCACAAGACATGGAGGTGCGGCGAGAGACCGAGCGCTCCAGGGGAAAGATGAGGAGGGAGAAGCCCGTTGTCGAGGATAGCACCCCTGACGAGGACGACGACGACGACGATGACGATCAGGGAGCAGATCTTGGGGCCTCTTTGGATGGGGGGTTGATGGCCGATGGCCGTCGTGGCCAAGAGGGGGCAGCCAAGGCGATGAAGGCGGCTGCGGGATCGAAGAAGAGAAAGAGGAAGGCGAAGATGACTGCCACTGAGGCAAGATCAGCACCTTCTCAGCCGAAAAAGAGCAGAGTTCTTTGACAGACGTCCATGCTGGAGACCTTCGATCGGGTGTGGCAACGAGAATTCTCCGACTCCGTCCTGCAGTGGTGGTACGTGAGCGGCATCCCATTCGAGGCGGCGAGGAGGCCAGAGTATCATACGATGAGGAAGAAGTTGCTTGAGTGTCCGCCGTATGCACATCCCGCATTGCCCACGCACCGTGTCACCTCCTGCGACGGCATCCCTCAGCAGCAGCGAGTTGTGGCGGACATGGAGGCGGCCATCCGCAGGGACATTGAGGCGACGGGAGCGACCATCCTCACTGATGGTCGCAAGTCCATCACGAGTGACCAGATAGTCAACTTCCTTGCTGCTGGGCCCACAGGCGCGTACCTTTTCGGGACTGTGCAGCGGGACAATGCTGTTCAGGAGACAGCGGAGGCCGTCGTGGAGCGATGGAAGGACGTGTTCGACAAGTTCGGTGTCGACAAGGTCAACGCCATTTGCACTGATTCCGCGTCTGCGTATGTCGCTGCCTCCACGCTCCTCACGAAGGAGGAACCCAGGTACAGCCACATCACTTGGCTTCCGTGCGCGGTCCATGTCTGCAACTTGTTGTTGTCAGACATCGCGAAGGACGGGCGTGACGGGAGCCTTGGGAAGAGGGAGGACACCATCATGAGGGCTCGAGCTGTCGTGCGTTTCATCAGGGAGCACGGGGCGGCTCTGAGCCCTTATCGATGGTTCTATGCCGCCCACCCCTCTTCCGCCTCCGCGGCGACGGGCTGTTCCAGCTCTGCGCCACCCCCGTCTCAGCGGCGAGGCAGGGAGCTTGTGTACCCTGCGCAGACGAGGTTTGCCACCCACTACTTGATGCTGGAGAGGTTGCTGGATCGTCGCAGAGCGTTGGAGGCATTGATGATGAGCGACGATTGGCTGCAGACTGCATGGAGGAGGTCCATTTTTCTGCAGGCCAGGTGGGTGCGTCATCAGGTGCGGTACGCGCTGTTCTGGGAGCACGTGGAGGACATTGTTGCGCTGATGACGCCTGTGATGCAGTTGCTACGACGTTTGGACAGGGGGGGTGCGTGATGACTCGCATGTGGTCGTGGGGTTTTGTCATGCTCGATAGGGTGGCGAGAGCGAGCCTGAACAGGACGTCGAAGGACGATCTCCACATCGTTATTCAGGCTTGTCAGGCGCGGGTCGCTCATATGTTGGAGCCCGCACATTGCATGGCCCACATCCTCAACCCGCGGAACAGGAGCATTACTTTTTTTGGAGCGGCGAGGCGTACCAGGCACAAGTGGACACCGGCAGACGAGTCGCTGCGATACCTTCGCCAACAGACTGGTGGTGACGAGGATTTGTATCAGACGTTGCGCACGCAGCTAGCGGAGTTTCATTCTCGAGAGGGCGATTGGACGTATGGAGGGGTTGAGGGAGAGAGGGATGCGGCCTCCTGCAGAGGGGAGAAGGAGACGTCGTAGGTGGGGCAGTGGTGGGTTCAGCACAGGGACGGGGTCCCTCTCCTTCAGAGTATCGCCATTCACTTGATGCACACATGGACGTGCGTTTCTCCGGCGGAGAGGAATTGGGCCGTCCATGAGCGTGTTCAGGTGAAGAGGTGCAACCAGCTTGGTTTCATCAAGCTGACTCGTTTGGTGGAGATATCCACCAACTTGAGATTGAGTCGTTGTCAGGGGAGGGGTTCAGGGTACATTCTTCCATGGGAGGACGCTGAGGAGGAGACAGAGGACGCTATTCCTCCGCCTCGTGATGAGGGTGTTCGGCCAGCTGACCGAGTCACTGAGGCATAGCGCGACCGGCAGGTCCAGCGTGGGCGAAAGGATTGCCTTTCAAAGGCACCTCCCAGCATCGCCACGGGGCTCATGGCGATTGAGTTGGAGTCGGTGTACGATCTCGAGCCTGATCCCATGGCTCAGGATGCGATGGAGGCCAAGCCGTGGTCAGATACGGACGACCTGGCTGTGGAGTCAGAGCCTGGAGGTTCTGATGACGATGACGGCGACACTCCTCTCATCCAGATTTCGCGTCCTCGCACACGTGCATCCACGGCGGCCGCTGCACCGTCTCCCGCAGCACGCCCTCCTTCGAGTGCTCCCGACGTCTCGCTGCGAGGCACGGCGGACCGTGTTAAGAGCACGACGCTACACCCTTCGACGGATCGTCGTGGATATGGTGAGGGGGGGACTCGCGAGCGCGTTGACTAGGGAGACGGCGGCGACGCCGACGACAGGGAGGGATATGAGGGCAGCAGTGAGGATGAGGTTGATCCCTGTTATTCCCCGACGCGTGGACATGGTGACGACGACGATGACGAGGGCGGCGACGGTGGACAGCCTGTGGGTGGTTTGCGGAAGTCTGAGAGACAGCATGGCGACCGATGCAGTGGTGCAGGCAGGGGAGGCAGCGGGCCGGGTGTTGGGGGTGCACAACACACAAGTGGTGCAGGATGTGGTGGCAGAGGACAAGTAAGGCGAGAGTCTGCATCGTCCACTCGCACTGTGCATTGGGTTGATAAGGGGAGGCTCGCTGAGGCGGCTGTGGTTGCTCCTTCCCCTACAGAAGTTGCTCCGTCCCCTGCTGAGTTCGCAGCGGCATCTGCGGAGGGCGCAGGCAGGTTTGCAGGTGTTGGTGGCGAGGGTGTACAGGTTGGGAGGCCATCTGCACAGTTGGGTGTCAGTTTCGGCGACAACATTTTTGATGTTCCGCTAGGGTTTCCTCCGACACCGGCAGGGGAGCATGTTGGTGCCGATGCGGACACAGCGGCCACGCCCGTCAGTCGGATAGTCCGTGGTATACCTTCTTGCAGCGCGGGCAACATCAGTAGTAGCATGTTGCAGGAGGCACCAGAGGGGACACCGGGTTGGTCGGGGCAGCACGAGCATGCAACTGGGGATGATGGGGAGTGTCGACATGTGCACAAGCGGGCAACAGAGTCAGAGCAGGACAGGATCGACCGCGAGGAGAGGAGGACGGCGCAGGGGTTGGCTAGCCGCTGCGAGATGACGCAGAGTATTGCACTGAGGGCACGTGTAGCGCGGATGCTCGAGACGGGCGTTGCTGCAGGCGATGAAGAGGCCGAGTGAGGCGGTGCGGGTGGAGGGGATGCAGGCGAGAGACCTGCGTCGCCAGTTCAGGGTGTTTGTGTATTGCCTCTCGGTGGGGCCATGTCGGCGGGGTAGTTGGAGCGGCAGGCACGGCAGGACCCATTGCAGGCAGATTTTCGCGGCCGGATGGCCAAGGAGTCGAGGAGGTTGATGGCAGAGGGCCCAGCTTACGTGCCTTGCAGCCCGTGAGTGCCAACGTCCACCACAGATGTCAGCACACCTGCACATGTGGAGGGTCCAGGCGCAGCAGAGGTGGCACAGGGCCCCTTGCCGACACCCGTTGGGGATTCTCCGTCTCCTCAGTCACGGAAGAAGAAGATGAGAGCAGGGAAAAGTCTTAGTACCGTGAGGAGAGTGACATAGACGATGCGGGCGAGTCAGCCCGGGTTGGCCGGTTTACATCCGCGGACACGGGCGGCTTTGGGCGGGGACGTTGTCGCAGACGTAGTAGGATGGCAGGAGAGGGCCTCCAACCGAGCGGCGGATCAGCTCATGCCAGTGAGCGCACCTGCTGAGGCGACGTTGCCACATACCGTAGGGCGTACAGTGGGTACGGGCGACCACGCCGAGCACAGTGCGCCCCCCGGGAGGAGCATGGTTGCACGTATATTGCGGGAGGATATGAGGGCAGTGACAGCGCAGTGACCGTCACAGGCATTAGTCGTTTGGGAGTCTGGCATAGACGATTTGGAGATGCCTTATGGCCAGTGGAGGAGGGTTTCCGTGTATGATCTTCTTCAACCACAGGGAGGGGTTGAGGCGGCGCCACAGGGGGAGATTCATGCTCCGGATATTGCGCACGCGCCGGTAGGCGGCACTGGTCGTGGGGATGGTGTCACAGGTGTGGTGCCGCAGAGGAGAAGGAAGGACATTGTGGACGACGATGATGCATAGTTCCACCATTAGTCTTTTTTCATCCTCTGTTTCGTAGTAGTGTACAATATATTTAGTGCTTCGGACGAGGCCTTGTGTTTGTAGGAGTAGTCTGTGCAGGTCGTCATGACTGCATTTGTATTTGTATAGGTGGTTAGACTATTGTATACTATTTCCATGCACGGGTGCAGTTTGTTTTGTTTCTCGTTTTATTTTCTCATCGATGATCGATGTTTTAGAGGATTGCACTTTTTTGAGTATTTCTTCACACACGGGCTCAGCATGTGCAGTGCTCACAGTTTCATATTTTGTTTCACCTTTTATTTTTGTATCGATGTTTCGGACGATTCGACAGTTTTTTCGCACACCATTTGACAGAGTCCAGTATGCATAAGTTTGTTATTGTTTTGTGTGTACGGAGCTGTTTCACCGCGTTATTTCGTTTGCCTGCCCGACAGAACCCTCCCCAACCCCCAAACACAACC